GGGTGGCAGAGTATCCTTCATGGGCGTCAGTTATTGGAGATGGGTTTGTGATGACAGGTTGGTAATGGCCAATCGGTCTCCCTCCTTCATTCTAACTGGATTCCTAGGTACCAACTAGATCCCCCATGCTATAATCCGCGGATCTTGCCTGAGGGGGGTGATCCCTTGGTGGCGGAGGTTATTTGTGAGGGGGGAGGGAGGTGGTCTTATGAGAAGTTCAGTCAATGGTTTGACCTGCTCACCTGTAGGGCTATTAAATCTATTCATCTCCCGCGTTGGGATGTGCCTGATAGGCTTATCTGGCATTTTACGGCCGACGAGGTTTTCTCGGTTAAGTTGGCTTACCATTTGGCTGTCGATTTGGACAAGAGGAGGGGTGGGTGGCGATCCTCCGTTAGCTGGATGGATAAGCCGAGTTGGATTAGAGTTTGGGAGGCGAAGATCCCTCCGAAGTTGAAGGTTTTTGTGTGGCAAATTCTTAATTGGGCTCTTCCGACTACGGTGGCGCTTATTGAGAAAAAGGTCCAGGTGCTACCTCGGTGTCCAGTTTTTTGGGATGGCCCGGAGACAATGGAACACATATTCCTTTATTGTTCGGTTGGGCGGGCTCTCTGGGATTATTCTGGGCTGGAATACTTGGGCGAGGGATTTCCTCGGCATACTTTTCCTTTTTTTCTCAAACGTCTGTTGGCGTTGCTTCATCAACCGTTAGTGGTTATGGCTGTTGTTGCCATTCTTTGGAGGATCTGGCGATCTCGGAATTGGGTAGTATTTGAAGGAAAACAATTTGGGATCCCGACGCTCATGCGGCAATTTAACCAACAGTATGAGGAATGGGTGGGTCTACCAGCGGACCAAGCGCCTAGGGTGCAAATCCCGATGATGCAATCTACAGGACAAGTGGGCGATTCCCATTTGGTTTGCATATGGGACGGGGCTACTATGGGTGGGTCGCATTCAACTGGTGGGATGGTTCTTTTTTACCCAGCCCGGACACTCCTCTGGCTAGAGGGGTCCAGTTTTCTCAAATAGATGATCCTATAGTGGTGGAGTTGCTTGTGCTCAGGGAAGCTATTATTTGGTGCGTGGAGCAAGGCTTGTCGGAGGTCCGGTTTAAGGGCGATGAGAAGGTGATTATTGACAAAATTAATCAAGCTAACACAAGAGATAGCCGGTTGGGTGTTGTTTTGGAAGAGATTGGTCATTATTTTCGTACTCAGGCTGGCTTTAGTGTGCGTTTTGTAGGTCGGGAGAACAATAGGGTAGCTCATTTGGTATCTATTTTTTCCGATCAATATAAGATATCTTTTGACAACAAAAAAAAAACCAAGCCCCCAATCCCAGTTGTGCTAAGTGACAAACAAACAAGCCTCAAGGCACTCGCGCCACGTAACCTGCAATTCTTATATTTTTTGAACTTACTAGACCATATCCAAAAAGAAGTTCCAAAATTCGAAAAATTAGGGCTAGATCTAGAATTCTAGCCCAACAAAAACAATTTTGCTCGAGATTCAAAAGTCCAAAGTTCCAAATTTTCATTGACTTCTAATCTAGTTTAGTGTAGATTTCATCATTATAATTAGATAATTTATTCATTATTTCTATATAGGTACTAATAATTTAACATTTCGATATTTTTTTAAATTTGGATGTAAAAAATTGATCTCATGTCTGTCAGATTGAGTTGTATCATCAAGTATTCATTGTGCCATCAATTGTTCATTCAACTTTGACCATTATTGCAGAAGGAATCATTTCAAGTTTCTATAAATGAACCCTCAAACTTGGTCATTCTACTCATCCATCATTAAACCTTCTTTCTAGAAAAAAAAAATCATCCATCCTTCATTCATCTCTCCAACCACCGATTACTCTTTTGCCTTCGTGGATCAAGCAATGAAACCAATACTCTTGGAGTGTCCCCACCATTTGATCAAGCAGTTTGAGGACTGGTTTCCAAAGTCAGTGATGAGGTAAACGGTAAGATGCACGATCAATGTTATTGCTTGCTGACGAACTTTATGTTGAGTGGGCTACCTATGTGAATACTACTAGCAGTTCAAGTAACTAGAAAAGGAAGTTATTTGCAAAGTATCAAGTGGCTTACTGCAAGGATACTGAGAGGGCATTATGCATCAACAAAGATGGGCCATTGTTAGGGGGTCGAGTCGTCTTTGGGAGGTGCAAACACTTGGTGATATTATGTAAACTTGTATTATTATGTACAATATAATAGTGTAAGATCAATGATACGAGTATGGTGACGAGGAAGTGGCTCGAATGTGAGAGTAATCCCAATGTCAGATGGGAGCCACCCGAGCATAACATTCTGATTTTTATGGAGTACATGGTAAGACATAACAGAATTTGTAATCGACAAGGACATCATGCATTGAGAAACGATTTTGATTGAGTATTTATGGACAAAACATGGAGAAAGGTAGAAACATGATATATTCCCTAAGTTTTAAGTTTGTATTCCTTAATTTACGTATTTTTTTTATGTTTCATTGATGTATTCTCTATGTACTTATTTATTTTTTAATGTTTTATTGATGTATTCTCTATGTTTTATTTATGTATGCCATGTCTTGCTAATGTATTTTCCACTTTTCAATAAGAAGGTACTTGCATTACTAATTAGAAAATTACAATAGAGGAAGAACATACATCAAACTTAAATCAAACTAGATTAAAATTACACGCAATAAAGCAGCACACTAAAAATATTATATGTCTGGAGCATCATGTTAAGAAGTCACAATGTCATCTTTGTGTCTTTGATAACAAGTCCGAGTTCAAGCCATATTCCTTACCATAATCTCATGCATGTTCTTCTCCCTTACATCCCTTGCTCTATCTCTTGCTTCTCTTTCAACTTCATGTTCCTCTCTAGCGAGTACTAACTTTGCATGCATGTTTGAATTCTCCATCAAATTGATCATACTCTTGTCCCAACTTTCAGAGGAAGAATAAGGAGTTCTCATACTCTTCTTCTTTTGCTTATCCTGGCCTTCAAGATGGTTGATCAGAAAAGAAGTTGCTTGAACGTCGGGGCTATCACTCTCGCCGGATGGCATGCCTGATAAAAATCCATCCATTGGTGTAATGGGTGGCACAAGAGAAAGAAATTGTTGCAAGAGCTTTGGAGAATATTGAAATTTCTCTCAACAATGCTTCAACTTGGAATGATTTTCGTTGTCCGCTAGAAAATTTGTTTCGCTAGTTCACCCTATATTAACTAAATTGAACAAGCTAGTTAATTAAAAATTAAACAAATGATAATTATTATTAGATCTTTACTAATCACATCACAGAGATTTTCTCTGCTCATTAGTGTTGCGCTTGCTTTTCTCGACATCGCATTCCACGAACTACATTTTTCGAGAATGATCTTTCCATCAATTTTGAAGGCCCCATGTGAGGACGTGAAATTTTCAACTTTTCAAAGCAAATACTACCCCAACTCGCCACTAAAATTAATTCGAGGATTGAAAATGACTAACGGAATGAATCAATTGACCTGTGTTCCACTGCTGAGTCCTGACCCGGTCAGGTGAACGGTCGGATCAGGTTTAACGAGGGCAACGACTCCAAAATGATTTAACTTATACGGAAAAAAAAAAATTTAGATCATGAAAAAAAAAAGGGTTAAAGACACATTTGGTCACTGAGATTACTAAATCGGGACATGTTTAGTCACTAGAAAAACTTAATATCAATTTTAGTCACTCGAATTACTGAAATAGGTCACATTAAGTCACTCTCCGTTAGTCTCCGTCCAACTCCGTTAATGGAGTCCGTTAAGTGCTGATGTGGCAAACAGAATTGCCTAATCAGCGCCGTTTTGGGCCAGAAATGGTCAAACCCGACCCGCCACGTCACTAAACCCATCATGTCATACACCCAACCCATTAACCCTACCCACTAACCCAACCGTAGCCCAACCGTAGCCCACTTTAACAAAACAAAATTGGAAAACCCTAGCTCCAACTCGTTCTCCTCTTCTTCACCGCCGCTTCCCCAATGAAACAAAAGTTTTTCCATCATCAACCTCTCCTCTCTAGTTAATCAAGCTGAGCATACCAAACCCCCTGAATCCTCACATCCTTGAGGCACCCAAATCGGTGTCCGACGGCTAAATGTTCTAAAAAAATCCCCAATCACCTCCCCTGTCTCCGACTTGCTCTTGGTCACGCTCAATGTAATCTTCCCCTTCGACGCCGCGTTCTTGACATTCTCCTTCGCCAGCTCTTCCTCATCCCCTCTCCCGCCGGGGGCAGCGCCACCGCGTTGTCATAACCCTGGGACCCGCCTCTGCCCTTTGGGTCCAAGAACGACGACCCTCTATACCTGGGAACCAAAAACTCGCAGCTGAAGCTCTCTGGTTTTCCGGAAGCAACGAGCTGCTTCACCGTGAAGAGGAAAGGGACCCTCCCGCCTCCGGGGAGCTGGACGGTGAGGACGGCGTAGTCGATGCCATCTTTCTCCTTGAATTTCACGATGCCGTCGGGGGAGACCTCGAAGGGGCCTTCTAATCGTGATGATCTTGCAATTGCTGCTGATGTTGTTTCATTGGGGAAGACGGCGGTGAAGTGGAGGAGAATGAGTTGGAGCTTTTTCAATTTTGTTTTGTTAAGTGGGCTAGAGTTGGGTTGGTGGATAGGGTTAGTGGGTTGGGTGTATGACATGGCTGGTTTAGTGACGTGGTAGGTCGGGTTTGACCATTTCCGGTCCAAAACGACGCTGACTAGGAGCTCTCGTTAGCCACGTCAGCACATAACGGACTTTATTAACGGAGTTGGACGGAGACTAACGGAGAGTGACTAAATGTGACCTGTTTCAGTAATTCAAGTGACTAAAATTGATATTAATTTTTTCTAGTGACTAAACATGTCCCGATTTAGTAATCTTAGTGACCAAATCTTTAACAAAAAAAAAAAGTAAGAGGTTTTGGTGATACTATAGAAATCAAATTAGAATACATGACTTGATTATATGCCTGCAGCACTACCCACTGTTCGGCCGGCTTCGTGGGATTCTCCGTCTTCGTTTGCTTAGGTAGGCAAAATTCCAAAATTCCAGTTCTTCAGCTGACCAACTCCTCTTCGTGAATGGTGGAGCAACTGGTCGAAGTTAGAAATGTTTGGATTCATTCATGACTTCAATTTCAAGTAGTGATTTGATGATGTGCTTCACTGCTACAATGTTTTCCAGTTTGTGCATTTGCCAACAGTGAGATTGAACAGTGAGATAATTAAACATTCGGGAGGACTCGGCTTATAATAGTCTTCCGCCATGGCTGTCGAAGAAGATGTTGCGCAGGAGTACGTGCCGCAGCAGAAGAAGAAAGAACCTTCTGAGCTAGAGAAGCGGTCTGTCTCTCTCTACTGTATTTCCTTCGTCCGAGAAACCGGTTCCGAGTTCTAAGTTTAGGGATTCGGTCTTTTGGTTATTACTGGATTCTGATTGCTGTGTTCATACTTTGTGGTGATTAGGAGAAAGAAAATTGAACCTGGAAGCTTAATGAAGGCTGAAATGAGGCCAGGAGGCGGTGATGTTAGACCATCCGAGGGTGATCAGGTTACTTCCATTTTGTATCTGCTTACGTTTTCCAATTTACTGCTTAAGTTGCTTACTGGATCGTGATTGATATTGGTTTGGCATCATAATTCACCTCACAGGCCATATATCACTGCACAGTCAGAACTTTGGATGGAGTAGTTGTCGAGTCTACTAGATCAGATAATGGGGGTAAGCTTTTTCTTGTACGTTGTGATCAATGTGTATATGTAGAGGAAAACATATCGTGTTATCATTTTAAAGGGAGCAATTGTTTACTCCTGCAGTTCGATGTTAGCCTAGAACTTCATTGTTGTCGTGATTTGGATGTTGCTTAATATAAGTGTCATTTACATGTAGGGAAGGGCATTCCGCTGCGGCATGTTTTGGGGAAAAGCAAGATGCTGATAGGAGTCATTGAGGGACTTACCACAATGCTGAAGGGTGAAGTTGCTATGGTATTGAATTTTTCAGTTTGCAATATGACAACCGGTTGCAGTTTATTTCTAGGCTTCTCCTGCATTCCGGTTTTTGAAGGCTAATACTCACATTGTCTGGGTGAAATTATTTGGTTTTCAGTGACATATCTGTTCTTATTCCCCTTTCTTGCTGTTCCCTTGGTAGAAAGCTACATGTTAGAGAGCTTTGAACTAACGCGAAGTTCATCTTTGTTCTTCATGGCTGATATCTTGAATATTTGGTGTATCATCTTATGAGCTGTTCAATCTATTTTTCAGTTTAAAATGAAGCCATCAATCCACTATGGCGAGGCTGATTGCCCAATCTTACCACCAAGTGGATTCCCGAAAGATGATGAACTTCATTTTGAGATCGAAATGATAGAATTCTCAAAAGTGAAGGTAATTACTTTGGATTTTGGTTCACCGGTCTTCATTGCTGTCTTGCATCCATTTGTATGGATTGCTGAAATGATTTATTGAAGTTTGTTAAATACTTTTGTTACATTATTGTGCTGGCATAGTCGATTGCGGAAATTATACACATTCACTGTCAATAAGTTATATACTTCTTTTAGTTAATATGATCATGGTCAAGAGGCAGGTACATGATGTAATCAAGCACCTTGATTTCCTTCCAATCATTGAAGCGCTGTCCTAAAACATGTTTGTTGCTTTTCAGGTAGTCAGCGAAGATTTGGGGATTATAAAGAAGGTAAAGAACGCGTGACTACTCAGTGCTTGATTTCGAAGGAGTTGATCTGAAATAATATTCCAACCTGAAAGGTTGATAGCCAGTTTCCTGAAGCACCTTCTTTTCCCACACATGGTGGAATTCTTTGCAAGATGCTCATCCTAATCTGTTGTTCGAGTTGGTCCCGTGCTTCTTAGTCTTCCTGTTACACATATTTCTAAAAGCATTCTTTCTGTGCTCATCGTTTGTATTGATAGGTGATAGATGATGGTCAAGGTTGGGAGTCTCCTAGGGAACCATATGAAGTAAAAGCCAGGTATTTGAGGCTTCTTCATGGTTACTCCTTCTACAGTTTTGTGTTTATGGTGAAATAATGCCCATAATATTTACAAAAATATGTACTGTTCTAGGATTTCAGCTAAAACTGGTGATGGGAAAGTTATTCTGGCCCACACACATGGGGAACCATATTTCTTTACTTTCGGGAAATTTGAGGTTGGTCAATATTTTTGGCTTTGTAGTAGTCACACGCATATTTCCTCTGTAATAGATCCAATTGAAATAAGGAATTCAACAGAATTTTATTTTCATTTCTTCGCCCGATGATTTTATACTTTATTGGACTTTTGGAAACAGCTTGATCTTGTAACAACTATTCTAGGTACCTAAAGGTCTTGAGATGGGAATGGGAACAATGGCACGAGAAGAAAAGGCTATAATATATGTTACTGGCCAATACTTAACTCAGTCTCCTCTCCTATCTACAATTGAAGGTTTGGATGAAGTTCATTTTGAAGTGGAGCTTGTTCATTTCATTCAGGTCTGTAACATTGTTCTAACTCTCTTCACTCATAGGTTAATCTGAGCTTTCTTTTGCCTTGATCTTGTCTTTTAAGGCCGAGGCATAGTAATTTACTACGATTTTTTTCCTGCAATTTTTGTCATTATGGTAAATCATTTGCTCGTCCATATTTCTTTGCTTATTTTATACCAAGCCCCTCATACCTCTATTTAAATTATGTCAACTGCATTCTTTTGGCATCAGACTCTTGACTTGTGGTGCCAGTTTGATGTATTCCTTTTAAATTGCCCATGCATGGAATTAGTTTTCAGGTTATCTTCTCAAGTTGCAATACTCTGAATAAATAAGCAGGACTTTGCATAGTTTCCATTTGAAGATTGATGACTATATCAGTACAACTTAGCGGATGAAAGAATACTCTGAATAGATAAGCAGTTCTCTCTGCATAGTTTCCACTTGAAAGAATATCTCTATTAGTCCTAGATTTTTTATGCTTGAAAAGCGTTCAGTTTGCATAGTGAAGCTGGTCCCGGAATGATAAGTTTAATTGCACTTTGTGTGGACAGGTGCGAGATATGCTTGGAGATGGGCGTCTAATAAAACGTAGAATTCGTGATGGGAAGGGTATGCTATAGAATTTGTTACAAGGTCTCGATTGATTGCGTATGCTTCTTTTGGTGGTTCTCCTTCGCCTTCGGCTTTTAACAACCCTTTCTCTATGGTTTTGCAAGACATTTGTGTAATTTCACAATACATATGTCTCGGTTGTGTGGTACACTAGGTGAGTTTCCCATGGATTGCCCTCTTCATGACAGTGTGCTGCGGGTTCATTACAAGGCCATGCTTCTAAATGACAAAAAGACAGTCTTCTACGATACAAGAGTCAACAATGCGGGGCAGCCTTTGGAGTTCAGTTCTGGGGAAGGTCTAGTAAGTTTTTAGTCTAGTATAAAGGAAATAGCTAATTCCGTCAACATATCTAAATATATCTGCCACACCTGACGCATTGTGATTGATGACGTATTAGCTGTTTTGACAATATGGATCCTTTTGTCTTGCTTGGATGTTTCATTCTGATTTCCACATCCTTCACTTTGCTGCCTGTTGCTGCAGGTTCCTGAAGGATTTGAAATGTCTGTCCGCCTGATGCTTCCAGGAGAGCTGGCTTTGGTAACATGTCCTCCTGATTATGCATATGACAAATTTCCAAGGTTGTTTAGATTCTTATACTTACCGAAACAAGCGCAGATGCACTTTTGTTGATTCAATTGTAACTTTATCACTTCTTTTTTTGTAGCATTCTAGTTAATTGAGCTACATATTAACCTTCTGTATGTGTGGTTAGGCCAACCGATGTTCCTGAAGGTGCTCATGTCCAATGGGAGATTGAGCTTCTTGGTTTTGAGATGCCACAGGTGACAACCTGGTATCTTATCTCCTTGTCCTTTTTGTGGTCACTCTAATTCTGTTATTGACTATTGCTATTAAATTACTATCTTTACATCCCATAATCCAGGTTGAGGATGCCAATTAATTCATTCCTCATCGCAGCTTTGAAGTTTATATAATTTTTCCCCTTCCACACATGCAACTTTGTGTTCCATTTGCAGGACTGGACTGGCATGGATTTCCAGAGTATAATGGACGATGCTGAAAAGATAAGAAGCATAGTAAGTACTAGTGTAGAACACTCTAGTGGCTCATATTGTTCCTTTACCTGTGAGATCAAGAGCAGATCAGGTATCAACTCATGGGACGTATGTCATAGTAACTGTTACTTTTTTCAGGGGAACAGGTTGTTCAAAGAAGGAAAGTTTGAACTAGCGAAAGCCAAGTACGAGAAGGTATGATGTTTAAGCATGTTACATTTTTAAATTTTTGGTTCTTTCAACTATGAATGTAGTCCATTTAAACAGGTACTGAGGGAGTTTAACCATGTCAATCCACAAGATGATGAGGAAGGGAAGGTTTTTCTGAACACGCGGGTAAGTAGTCTTTCATCTGCTGTTTTAACCAAGACAACGAGAAATTTTACAATGCTATATAGTGTTGGTATAGGGTTTTGCCTTTATGGTAACTTAAAATTGTACATTTACATTATAGTACAACTTCAGATTGTACCTATATTTTTTGCGTACAACTTCAAGTTGTAAAGTTGTACCATAACAGAATGGTACAAATTGCTTTATGGTACAACCTAAACTTATACATTTAATGTTATGATACAACTTTAAGTTGTACATTAAAGCACCAATACTATATAGCATAGTAGAAGTGCTCAGACGAACTGCTTGCAACTTTATTTGCAACCATTCTTGCTAACCTCATTTTCTTTCCAATTTAAGAATTTGTTACACTTAAATGTGGCCGCTTGCTACCTGAAAATGAAGGAATGTAGAAAATCTATTGAGGCATGCAACAAGGTAAAGTTTCCATTTGAAGAAACGTGTTTCAGCCGTAGTAGGATGAAAGTTCGAGATTCCTGAGATTGGAGTAAAACAGGTTTTGGATGCAAGTCCTGCACATGCAAAGGCTCTATACCGCCGAGGAATGGCATACATGGAAGCTGGCGATTTTGATGAAGCAAAGAACGACTTTGTAATGGTAACCCCTTACTTACTATTTACTATCCCTTTCATAAGCTCTCTAAATTCTTAAGACTTGAATTTCCTCAAAATCCATTATGTAACGTGCTATTAGATGGCAAAAGTGGACAAGTCATCCGAGTCCGATTCAAAAGCTGCTCTTCTGAAACTAAAGCAAACAAAGCAGGTATGTGTGCTAATCACAAAGAAACGATCCAAGGAAGTGGGGATTCCTTGATTCCCGAATTCGTATTTGATTAACAGGAAGTTGATCGGAGAGCACGAAAATAATTCAAAGGGCTCTTTGACAAGAAGCCTGGAGAGATAGCTGAGGTTGGGCCAGAAGATAAAGCAAAGGAGGAAAGCACATCCGAAGAAAAGCACAAGGACAATGAGGATGTCAAGTTGGGGTCGGATGACGGGATCGAGGAAGAGCCATTGCTGGAAGATGCTGTGGATGAACCAAGGCCTGGCCTTTTGTATCGCTTGTGGCCAACAGGGGGAAGGCTGTTCTCTGCCCTGGGGCTCCAACGATGTACCATCTTGTGAAACCTCTAAAGCTTGGCTTATGGCTCCCACATTCCTGGTTGTGGAATAGAGGTCACCTTCTAACTTGTACCCTTAAACAGATAGAGATAATAATAGTAGTTCAAGAGCAGACAAGTCTGATTTACAATAATAGTAGGTTACCTTCTAACTTGTGATATATACAATTATTAACAGCGGATGCTCGACTGCATGTTACGCGACAAATAGACAAGTCAACACAATATATGGAGCAGGACCAACATTGCTTTGGGTTCGATTTGGTCTTGTCTAAATGTCATTTTTGTTCATTTTTGTAAGATAAAAAATTTGTAAAAAATCAAATAATATTATATCCAGCTCAGTTCAAGTGTTGGTTTGGTGCGTAAATTCTGGTACAAATCAAATCATTGCACACCCCTACATGACTATATGAAATAATACATATATTTGAATTTTAACATCCCTTATCGTAACAAAATTTTAGTTTATCATGTGTAGCCTGTAGGGACACTATTGCTAGCATAATAATCTCTATATGAAACATGAATATAAAGGACCTGTTTGAATAGCATCTACAAACATCATCAAAATATTATCAACATACTTTTTCGAGAAAATTTTATTGAAAATATAATTCATTCACACCATGAAATAACATTTATATTTCATACTAGTTTTTGACCCGACTCGTTGGCCGGATTGCTTAAAGTTACTGACTCGTGGAATGAGGGAAAGAGCTAGAGCAATATAACATTTATTTTTGGAGAATTGTATATTCAAAACGTTCAAATATTAACATCAATATCAAGAAGAAAATAACAAAGTGTAATAGGCAATTCGAACAATTTATTACCAATTGTACATATAAAATTATCTAAATTCACTTTGTGTCCCGAACTATTCAATATGACATTTTAGTCCTGCACTATTATTTCGTTAATGTTGACCTGCATTGACGGTTAATATTTAACAAAAAATCCAGTCAGCGGTGACATGGAATCTGACATGAAATTTTTAATTTAATTTTTAATTTAATATAATATTTAATATAAAAAAACAAAAATAAAAAACTATCGGCTTCTTCTGCCGCTTCGGCTTTTACCTTTTTTATTTTTGAAAGTGGAGTGGTCGTTTCATTAATACGAAACACGGTGTACAGAGTTAATACAACACTGAAAGGAGGAAAAAAACCTACTGAGAAAATGATATCTAAAAGTAAGCTAACAACAAAAGCCCACAGCGAACAAGGCCCAAAGCCCGGTCTAAACACATGGACCCCCACTGCTTACCCCTAGAAACCCTAAATCCAGCAGCCCAACCAACAAGTGATGGGACCCGCATGCATCCCCACCCAAGACTAGCTGCCACCGAAGCCACCCAAACCAACACCGCCGCCCGCCGGGGAGAGGACCACCAGGACTGACGAATCGGGCGCCAGGGAACGGATGACAACAGCAAGAAAGAACGGGAGCGGACCAAATCCAGAGTCTCTCCAAGCTTCACCTGCACAATCAAGAAAAAACAATGGAGAACCCAGAAACGGACAGAAGAGTGACGAACCGCTGCGGATCTGAGCATGTGGCAAGAGCCCATCCACGAAAATTGGCTTTCCTGCTCACAAGCTCCCCGAAACACTATCCTAAACAACAGAGGCCCTTGCATCTCCGCAACATCCCCAACATTGGATGAAGCATGTGGAGGTAGATAGAGGAACAGAGAGGAGCGAGCGAACCGAAAATCGGCTCCCTCAAACACCAACCAGAGTACATCCACACAGATTTGGAAACCCATCCATTGTGGGAGCAAAAACCATCTCTTGAACGAGAGGAGCAAAGACGTCCTCACAAAGTGGGAAGAGAGACTCGATGGGAGGAAGAAGAGAAACCCAGAACTGAAGAAGAAAGACAACACAAACTCAGCAAAACGTAAGAAAAGATGGAAAAGAAAAACGCTTGCAAATCTCCAAAAGCCAAAGCACAATAGGGCTTGGAAGGAAAACAAAAGGAGAGGAAAATCGTTGGGCTACCGCCGGTCAGCAAGAGGGGCCGGCGGCAACCCTAGGGAGCCGATAATGAAGGGACGGAAGAGAGAGAGCAGAGAATAGTTTTGAAATTGGGTTTAGAGAGAGAAAAAAGAAAAAAGATTTGGGGTATGGGCAGACCTAGAATCTACCTCACCAGCCGTCGAGGATTGGCTATTGAAATTAAGATTTGGGGTATGGGCAGACCTAGAATGAAGACTCTTTTCATAGCCGAAGCCTGGGATTTCAGGTGGAGACTCTTTTCAGAGTGGGTTGAGGTGGTGGTTAGGGGAGAGAGTTCTTCAATACTCGAATCCAGATTTACAATAAGGCAGGCGAGAGCGAGGGAGGTAGGCGAGGGAAGGCAATCGACTGCTGATTCCTCTGGATTGACGTCGCGTTCCTCGTGTTGTGCGACTTGCCGGCGGGTGGACAAGATGATGGAGGAGATGGCGGAGTTTTACTCGTCGCAGTCGTGGTCGGGTCAGACCGGGCTGCTGGAAATGATCTAGCCTAGTTATTATGTTAACTTGAAAATTCGCTAGTATATACTAACTAATATCCAAAATGTATGAACTAATATCCAAGTCTGCTAAATATCTAAATAGCACAGACTAGTATTCAAAACATCGCAAACTAGTATCCAGATAGTAGATACCAACTAATATCCACAATCAACCAACTAGTATTCAATATGGATACTCTAATGGGTTATCTAGATACTCTTATGTGTTATCTGGATACTAATTATGTGCTGTTTAGATACTATTTTGTGTTGTCTAGACATTTGTTTGCAAATTTTGGATAATAGTTGATTCATGGTGGATATCAGTTAGCAAACTTTCAACTAATATCCAAGTATACTAAGTATCTAAATAGCACAGACTAGTATTCAAAACATCACAAACTAGTATCCAGATAGTAGATGATAACTAATATCCACAATCAACCAACTAGTATTCAATATGGATACTCTTACGTGTTAAAAGGATACTAATTATGTGCTGTTTGGATACTATTTTGTGTTGTCTAGACATTAGTTTGCGAATTTGGGATAATAGTTGATTCATGGTGGATATCAGTTAGCAAACTTTGAATACTAGTATGTGCTCTCTAGATACTTTAGTACTTGGATATTAGTTCATATATTTTGGATATCAGTTAGTATCTGCTAACGAATCTTCAAGTTAGCAGATTAACTTTCCCCGAAACAATCGGGGTGCCCGAAATGGAATGGTATAATAAAATGGGAAAATTCAAAAATAATAAAAATATTATTTTCCTTATTTTAATTTAATTCTAAATTTATTATAATCTAATGTGGCATCCACGTGGCTATTTGATTTTTACCACATAAACAAAAGTCAACATCACTTTGACTACCGTCTGGTCAACCATTATCTTTAACGGCAAAGCCAGCCAGCCCTTATGCGGCTACACAAGGTGTATTCTCTTCTTTTCCTCGTCGGTCCTGACTAGGTCTAATAAATGAGGCTTCACAAATACTTTTTTTAACAACATTGAGGCCAATTTCACGCGGCCACACAAGTCGCCTGCCCAATTCCTTTACATTATATTCTCGGCCACAAGCAGCCACGACTCCCTCATGATCTCTTGTTCTTCTCACAACCTAGGCTAGCCATGTTTTTCGGAGTAAATAATGGCCACTTGCCGCATCAAGAAGTCATATACTTAGCCAAAATTTGTCTATCACATCAAGCCAACACGACGGGATGGAAATCGATGTCAAGGCTAGTCCCATGCCTTAGCCATATTTTGGCCTTCACACGAAACTCGACATCAAGTTTCATGCCTTATCCAAATTTCGGACATCATCTCAAACCAATACGGCGAGGTGGAACTCAATGTCAAACCTTGTCCCATGCCTTAGCCAAATTTTGGCCTTCGCATGGAACACGATGTCAAATTTCATGCCTAAGAAATATTTAAGACATCATGTCGAACCAACATGGCGAGACAGAACTCGACATCAAAGCTTGTCTCATACCATAGCCAAATTTTGGTTTTCAATGATCAAGTCAACACGGCCAGATGGAACTCGCCGTCATACCTTGTCCCATGACTTAGCCATATTTCGCCTTTCAATGATCAAAGCAACATAGCCAGATGGAACTCATCGTCGAAGCTTGTCCAATGCCGTAGCCAAATTTTGGCTTTCAATGATCAAACCAACACGACCTGATGGAACTCGCCTTCAGAGCTAGTCCCATGCCTTAGTCATATTTTAGCTTTCAATGATCAAGCAAACATGGTCGGATGAAACTCACCGCGAAAGCTTGTCATATGCCTTAGTCAAATTTTGGCTTTCAATGATCAAGCCAACATGGCCAGATGAAACCTGCCTGCAAAGCTTGTCTCACACCTTAACCTTAGCCAAATTTTGGCTTTAAATTATGTGGTGTACTAACCATTAATTTACCCTTAATGGCAAAGTCACAACCCAACCAAATTTGGCTTTAGTACAAAAATGACACTTTGTCCATCGCCTTTGGCATGGATAGCAGACAACCACTCCCCTGCTGACAGGAACGGATCAGGTCAGTAACCTTATGGTGAGTAATCAAGAGTAACCAGCCCACATCAGCATGACATAAGTATCCTCTCTCTCCTGGAAAGCTTTTAATTTTACCCTCTTTAATCTTTGACGGACGATTTCTCACTCATTTTAAATCGAAATTTAATTTTTTTTGCACAGTTAGATCAGATTAATTGTGCTCTTCAAAATGATATCCACTTTAATATATTTTTCGAACAAAAAAAATCGAGCCATTTTTTACCAGTCTATACCATATGGTATTGACTGGTATTGAAATAAAAGCATACCTATGGTTTGAAAAACGTACCATGGTGGTATGAACAAACCAAGACTGTAGGATGGTTGAATACATGATAGTAGTAGTATATTAATTGTCATTTACGACTTTTAACATTGTATACCACACAATACCACCCCGTACCAGGGTGGTATTGTATGGTATTGTGTGGTATTTTTTGGTCCTGTAATTTGTTCACCCAGAAATTTGTAGATCCAATAGATCATGATGAACTCGTCCCTTCTGTGCAAACGTTTTCAAAAACGAATTAAAAACGAAGAAGATACCATACAATACCACCCCGTACCAGGGTGGTATTGTATGGCATTATGTGGTATTTTTTGGTCCTGTAATTAGTTCACCCTGAAATTTGTAGATCCAATAGATCATGATGAACTCGTCCCTTCTATGCAAACTTTTTCAAAAACGAATTAAAAACGAAGAAGATACCATATGGTTTGCAGTTGGTACAGAGAGGCCATAATTTTTTTCTAAAAAAAATATTGAAAATTGTTCTCATTTGGTAGAGCACAATGAACTCGTTCCATCTGTGCAAAAAAAATTAAAATCCGAGTTAAAACGAAAAAGATATGAGCTGATTAAGAAAGCTAGGAAACATAAAAATGGTCCTTAATTTTCCATTCTTAGATCTGGATTTTCTAAATGAATGGTTCAGATTTGGTTATTGATAGATGCATAACCCATGGTTATGCATCCTATCTTGAGCCCCAAAGAGAGGGCCGCTCAAAGCTAAACTTCGGCCTCCTCTTTCCATCCGACATTGTGGCTTTATTTTTTTTTTGTTTCCCATGGCCATATTAACTCCTAGATCGCCAGCTCGCGAGTCTCTCTCTCCGCCTTGTCCTGGTGATTTTTAACGCAAAAAGAATTATCTCATTCCTTGCCTTGCTTAGCTTGGATAAGGACTCAAAGTGTCCATCTCCCATTAGCCGTGACCTCCTCGCAACACAAGGAAAGTTGCCGAGCTTTGCTCAATCCGGGCTGTGACAAAGCAGCGGGGCAAGGCCTAAGTTGGAACTAAAACCTCCTTATCTTCTATTACTTGTCCACGCAGTTGACTGAATAACTTAGAATTTTGTTGCACATATTTTAGCACGGAGCGACTCATCTCATCTCGTCACAAGGCGAAGCAGCTTCGTCACGACAACTCAAGTCGTCTACTTTTTGCCTTAAAAATAATGTTCTTTTTTATCTTGGTAGAGACATTATGGTCACCACTCCTCTACTACCACGTTCAAAGCCATCATGCCTCTAGGTCGTGGCTACTCGAGATAAGACAACATGGCATGGCATCGCTTGATGTATGACTCGGCAAGCAACAAAGCCTCTCGCCACTGTGTTGAGTTAGGCTCTGATACCACCTAATACGAGCATGGATCCTGTATCCTTAGTTATCAAAGCAACGCAGTAAAGAACAAGGATAAAAAGATAGGGATAGGATGGAATTGAAAGAGCAATCTCAACACAAATAGGGAGAAGGCTCAATCAATATATAAAGGTAGAATCTCAACCACAATCAAGGGGAAAACTTGATTGATACAGAAAAAAGTTAAAGTCTAAAGCTCAAAACCAAGGTAAAAATCAATATTCTGCTAAAAACTAACCCTAAAATTGAGTTTCATCCTTTACATAGGTCTGGGCAATTAAAATAATTAAAACAACCTAAGAACACCAAATCCCTTTTGTCAACCCCGAAACCCGATCCAAATACCCGGTCGGGTATTTTTGGCCACTGACCGCGACCCCTCCTGCCTGCATTCCCCAGCCTTCCACTCATTTCCCCGGTCGGGGAAATTCCTTCAGCAAATACTCGGTCAGCTGCAGCTGCTTTCCCAGCCACCTGCTCTCTTCCTCCTCTGGGATTGTGCCCGAATCGTAGGGCTCCTTGGTCCGCATCAGTTCCTCCCCGTTGTAGAAGATTTGCCCTCAAAGCTTGTGTTTTCATGCAAGAGACAACATTAACAACGTTTCCAACTGGACTTCTCCTCAATGCAGTCAACATTTTCTTTCGAGCCATCGGATGTTTTCTCGTTCCGTCGTCCACCTTCGAGCCACTTGCACTTCCTTTCTCCTTAGCCTAGTTCATTGCCAACTGTTATTGATCTTCCCGGACTTCAGCTGGTGACGATGGATTTAGCAGGAACTTCTGATCTCCTTTCTTGAACCGGTAGCTATTGTGCCTTCCATCATGAATGACCTCTCGATCATATTTCCCTGAACGACCCAATAGGAGATGAGTAGCCTGCATTGGAGCAACATCACACCAAATCTCATATGCATATCGCCGATCTGAAAACAAACCTTGGCCTTCTTGCTGACTTTGATATTCCCATAATCGTTCAGCCAATGCATAGTGTATGGTTGAGGATGCTTGATGGTGCTCAATCCCAGCTTCTTGACTGCATCCAGACTAATCACATTGGTGCAGCTACCACCATCGATGACAACGGATATCACCTTCTCGTAGAACAAGCAACGAGAATGGAAAAGATTATCCCTCTGCTTCGTCTCTATGTAGACTTCAATAGATAAAGCTCTGCGATTTATTCAAAGAAGTTTTAATGTTGGAGGTTTCTCAGCCTTGATGTGCTCATCAACATCATCATCTTTGGAATTAGCCTCAGAACCGAATCCGTTTCCCATAGGCTTCTCTTAATACTCCTCGGAAAAGTACTCTCCATCTCACAAGACCAGAGCCTTCTTGTTGCGGAATTGGTTAGCCTTGTGACGCCGATCAAAGCAATTGAAGCTTTGGATGATTCCAGTTTAGCCTTCATTCCTGGCTTGAATGACTGGGGCCGTGTTCCTAGCAGCTGGCTTGCCTCCTTCTTGCTTAGGATAATTCATGTTAGCCTCAGGAATGTTCTCTACAACAGGTTTGGATGAAGGTGGGTACCTTCTATCCGAGCTCACCTTCAGTCAGTGTTCAAGAAGACGCGATTAATCTCTCGCCTAGGCGCGATTAATAGCTGGGCAGGAGGAAATTGCCCCGTCTAGCCCTGGGCGATTGATCTAGGCACCTAGGCACTCGGAGGCGAGTTTTCACTCTGGCGGGTGACGCCCAAAACAACTAATAAAGAGAGAAAGTGTAGCCTTTTTGTGAAAATCCCAAACCCTATTCTATTTCCCATTTCCTTTCGACCAATCGCTCCCCCTCATCGACCAGCAATGAGATCCCTCCTCATGGTTGGCGACTTGGGATGTTTGGGATTGTTGAAAAGGGTTGTATGTGTATATGAATGGATGAATAATGATATGGTGACTTGGGTTTTTGTAGAAGATATTGCTTATCTATCATATTTTTTTCAACGGTTAATCTCGCCTAGGTAACGACTAATCGGCCTGGGCGTTGGGCGGTACCTCTTCGCCTAAATAGCGCCTAGCGTCTTCTTGAACATTGCCTTCAGTTGCCTCTCTACCTTCATGGCCAAATGCATCGCTTCCTCCAACTCCACAAACTAATGAAGCTATACTTCAATCTTGAATTCTCTGATGAGCCCATGCAGAAAGAGAGCACTCGTTGCTTCCTTGTCTTCTCTCACATCTGCTCTCATCATGAGCAGTTCTAGCTCCTTGAAATATTCATCAACAGAACACGCTCCTTGTCTAAATCCCTCCAAGGCATCTTGGAGATGTCTCTTATAGAATGTAGGCACAAATCGATTATGCATAAGCCTTGAAGTTCTGCCCAAGTAGAAACTTCAGGCTGCAGATTCCTTCTTCGTTGAAGCTGAATCTTTTCCCACCAAAAACTGTTACATAATTTGTAAAGTCATAGGTGGCTACAATAACTTTCTAATTCTATGGGTAAGGATTGCACAGGAAAAACATAATCATTTTCCTTCTCCTAGTCGAGGTAAGCTCATGGACTATTAGTGCCTTGAAACAATGGGATTGAGAGCTTAATCCCTCGAATCGGTTCAACGCCATAACCCCTGCTTCTAGTGGTCTTCCTCCATACTCATGGTAATCATTCTCATACTCATTAAATGAAGGTCTGTTTTGCAAGATTACTTGAGGACGTTGCTCTGTGTACTGGTGTCTCTGTATTTGCTAGTCTGAGATCTTAGGAAAAGCTTGGTAAACTCGATAAGCTCTGATTACCTCTCGGTTTGCGGCTCCAGTTTGAGCTGCAACATCTGTTGGATTCTTTGGTGGTAGTGGATTACCCATTGGTTGCGTCTCCAACCTAGTGATTAGGGTATCCATCCGCTGATTCGTCTCAACCAACTAACCTTTGGTAGCATCTTGTTGGGCCTGAAGCCAGGCTCCCATCTCCGCCATCTGCATGGTAAGAAGCTTCAAACTTTGCAAGTTCCTGACTCTGCTCTCCATGTCTTGTTCTTCAATTGGGGTTTCTTCTTCATTGAGCTATTCTTCCTCTTCTCCGCGTTCTGCAATCAGATCTTTGGACCTTGTTTGAGAAGGATAAAACGATAGGGATAGGATGGAATTGAAAATGCAATCTGAACACAAATCGGGAGAAGGCACAATCAATATAAAAGGTAGAATCTCGACCACAATCAAGGGGAAACCTTGATTGATACAGAGAAAAGTTCAATCCTAAAACTCAAAACCAAGGTGAAAATCAATATTCCGCTAAAAACTAAACCTAAAACCCGAGTTTTGGAATTTATATTGGTATGGGCAGTTAAAATAATTAAAACAACTCAAAAACACCAAATCTCGTCAGTCAGCCCCAAAACTCGGTCCAAATACCCAAGTCGGGAACTTTGGGCCCCTGACTGACACCCCTCCCGCCTGCATTCCCCAACCTTCCACCCATTTCCCCATTGGGGAAATTCCATCGACACCTACTCTCTTCCTCCTCTAAGATTGTGCTCGGATCCCAGGTCTCCTTGGTCTGCATCAAAAGGTGTACATCCACTGCCCATTCCATGGATCAAACCAGGCAACCCATTCATAGACCGCATGACTCTTTCCTTCCAATGGAGATGACTCTCCATATATTGGTTTTGAACGTTTCATCTTACTAGTGGATTGTACATGGTCGACATGTCTTGTCTTGGTGGCCTTGCATGCGGTCTCATGCTTCTTTGCTTGGGCCACCTTACTTGACTGTCTTGTTTGCGTTCTAGTTAAAATATGTCTACTCTTTTCATGTTATTGGAGATTATGCCTAGACTTGACAAGTGAGCTACCACTCATGTGGTCTATTTGACTCTATCTTTCAACATCTGAACCTTGTTGGCCTCTACACCTAGCACACAACCACAATTGGTTCTTTATACGACCACGTTTGATTTGTTTGTATTATGACCTCTTATACCTATTCCCTTGTTCATCCTTTGTGGTTGGTGATAAGAACTTACTAATCATGGACATGGACTCGCCCCTTGTCCACTCTTGGCCATGCTCCTATACTTACATAAGTCATGAGTGGGTTGGGCGTGTGGTGTCTTATTGGACATGCCTCCTACTCCATTCTTCATGGTGGGTCACATGCCCACTTGTCTAGATTTAGCCAAACTAGCATGCTTATTACATGTATGTGTGGCTTGGACTTCATATCGCCTCTTGGACATGCTTGTCCATACTTAGCTCAATTGTCAAATCTACAATAATTTTTATTGGCTTTCACACATCGTGACTTGTTAGATATGCCCCCTTGCACATTACCCGTGGTTGGTGACATGTCCCCTTGTCCATACTTAGCCATATTAGTATATTTATCACAAGGATGTATGGCTTTTGATTCATGTGGTCTCTTGGTCAGCGCATTAGAATGCACCTTATGATGAAGTGTTGTGTCCAACACTAGTTTATGTTAACCATGTTGATATCCAATAAATTGAGGAATGGATCCTTGTCCACCAACACGACATCCTTCACTAACTCAGTAAACTTGATGCGTTCCTTCTCAATAGCATCTTGCAAAACATTATGAAAAACCACACAAGCATTAGTGGCATGTGACATGCTATTATGCCACTTACAATATTTTTTTCCTTTAACTTCTTAGCTAGGGGAAAGACATGCCCCATGTCAACTAGACTTAACCATCCTTATATAATTGGTCAAAACTCAAGTCTGCCTTTGTGACATTAAATGAGTATTTCCTCAGCTGAATGGACGCGCGATTGGGTCTTCCCGTTGCAGCCCCTCTTCAACTATAGACAAGGAAGAACACACGTATTGCTTCCCTGGAGTTATCTCCGCCAAGTCTATCTAGACCTCATTGGCCTCATGGCCAACATGATTGATTGTATAGTTTAAGTTTGGGAAGTTTGATCCCCTTGAGACACTCTTACGATTCTCTTCCCCGGGTAGAAGAGACTCATATCTCACAACACAATACATGAGTTGAACCAAGTCAGAGAACTCGTTATCTTGGAAATTCTCCTCATTTCAAAACTCAAACCCCCTTGTGCCATCTTGACGAACTCCATGTCTGTCAAATTGACAAAACAACGGTTACGGGCATTTTGAAGTTAGTCAAGAAATGCTCAACCGATTCCCCTGGTTGTTGGCTCATACGTCCCAAGTTAGCCATGGACACCTCAGGCTCCGATGTATAATATTGAGCTTGGAAGTCTTGCTCCATCTGCTGCCAAGTTTGGATGGAGTTAGACGGCAAGTTGATTTGCATCATCTAGTTGGCCTTGTTAATGAGTTGCCGAAAATCTCCTACATTGCCACATTGGACAGTGAAGCATCCAACATGCTCTACAGTGGACTGGTCTCCAGTCCATGTGAACATGGCAAACTCAAGAACCCTGAATCCCCTTAGGAATGGGTGTAGCCTGTCTACCCATTCAGGATATGGCCTCCAGTATACATGTGGCATACCTGGTCTCACTCCCATGCCAAACTGTTTCGTGAGGAGTTGAGCCACTTGGTCCATAAGAGTGTTGGCATCATGCCCCCTTGTTACCCCTCATATAGTACGAAGCCAATGGGATCCATGTCATGCCCATTGAAATGGGGTGGTATTGGAATTGGGTAGCGTCATGGTGGGGCTTAATCCATGTTACTACAATAGACTCCTTCTATTCCCAAGTTCATGGGAGCCACATAGGGTCTTGCTTCTGGAATAGAGAGTCAAGTACCCACTTGTCCCGACGGTTATTCAACATTAATGTTGAACATGGTGGCGAGGTTGTCAGCAAGTGGAACTTCAACTCCCACACTTCCATGTGAGGACTCTCCCACTTGAGCAGTAGTGGGAATTTTGCCATGATCTACTCGACATGGCGTTAGTTGGCTTGCCAGCTAAGACACAAGTTCTCTTGCCGTTGTTGGCCATATCGACCACCAGTGGGAGAAAGAATAGTATTAGTAGGTGTTGGACTTGTGTCATCTAATGGCAAAGCTCTTGACTGCACTACTAGTCTATTTAGAGTTTGTCAAAATTGGTCCAACTCATTCGTGTTTTTGTTAGCTACCTCAAGTTTAAGTTTGTGCCAGATTTGTCATATGAATAGTTTATGACACAAATGATACGTTCTGAATAGTTTGGATTTCCTAGTGTCAAAAACCTTTTTTTCAAAAAATTGAAAAATAAAAAAGGAACAAAAACTTACTTTACCCTTTTGGATCAACACTTTACCATTTTGATCTACTTTTTCACCCACCCCGATATCCTCTCCTTCTTCCGTCAAAACCTCCACCAATTCTACCAATCTACTGTGTCGACGATGGTAACGGGACAATCGATAGCGAAACAGAACCATTTGTCAATCCACCCACCTATCCAGTTCGTTAATCCACTCCTTCATCTTTATTCGAGCGCCGACTGTGTCATGCATCATCCGGGCGAGTAGTAGAGAACTGAATCATCGCACCCCTCCACCAGTGGAAAAGGACGACAACGAACTCTAATCCACGGTCAAATTAGGCAAAGAAGGCACCATCAAACCCGGCAAACCCAGAATATCGAGGTGAATCGAATCTGATAAACCCTAATCCCATTGTCGAGGGTTCAAATTTTCATCTCTTTGAGTTGTGGTGACTGGTAAGTTCTCATGAGCTCTGGATGTATGTCTTGAACTATGTAATGGATTTAGAGTGAAGATCTGGTATGTTTTGATAGGTGAAATGAGATCTAAAGGTTGGAAAGACAGAACATTTGTTCGAAGGAACCATATTTTTTTCTTTGTCGCGAAATTGACCCTGAAACAGAAGGTAAGAACCGCACGCTGCTAGATACAATGGTCATTGTACTATATGTAGCTTTTGAACTGTGTATTTACTCCATTGTGTTCATATGATTGAATTGTGTCTGAATTCTTTAATGTCATGTTATCTACATGTGAGTTGTTTATTAGTGAGTAATCGACATGTTGTTTGTATTTGGATTGTTTAATAAGGATTAATATGTGCTTAATTATGGTTAAGTTCAGAATTAGCAAATAATTACTTAAAGGGTGATTTTCTAACAGATGTTAGATTCTTGGGATGAGATTGTAGGCGAGAATGATCCTAAGGAGCCTCGCCGTGAAGATGCATTACTTTGAGTAGCCTGTGAAGCAGGTGTAGCACCATCTGTTGCACGAGAGGTCTTCCATGTATATGACTCTGAAGATGCCATGACTTCATATGACAAGTACCACAAAGCTAGGACTAATCTTCGAGCATATGGGGAGACAAGGAAAAGGAAGGTGAAGGCAAGGGTGGTTGTTGATGGAGTAGAGGTAGCACAGCTGGATGATTCTAAAGATGAAGAAGTGGAGAGAGATAGAGCTGTCAATGTAGAGGAGGTTGGATTAGGTGCTGCCAATGAAGGGGGTTCCCATCCAAATCCCCAGTAACCTTAGCAGTAGGTGGGGAGGGTCACAACATTCGAGCTACAAGTTGTCTGAAAGACTCTCTCCATGTAAGAGGTAACCTATCAGATGAGGAGGGTGGTGAGTTGTATGATGATGCATCACACTACGATCCTAATTGTGATAACAATCAACTTCAGTTTGTTTGTCGAATGAAGTTTGATGGGCCCAAACAGTTCAAGGATGCGGTTGTGAGGCATGCAGTAGTAGTTGGGGCAAGTCTAAGATGGGTCTGCAGCAACACTACAAGAAGGGAAGTGAAGTGCAAGGAAGTTAATTAAAATTGGAAGTTGTACGCTACCTAGTTTAGGAAGGACAAGTGCTTTATGATAAGGAAGGTTGGGCTACTACACTCATGTTCAAGATCCCTTCGAGTTAATCAAGTAACGACAAACTGGATAGCATCGAAAATGCTTGAAAGATTCCGAATTAACCCTAAGTGGGCACCATATCAGATTATGGCTGAGGTTAAATTGCAGCACAATCCGGATGCAAAGAAGAGGACTTGCTACCAGGCAAAAGTGGAGGCCATTAAGCTGTTGAGTAGCTCTTTGGAAAGCGAAGAATAAAACCGGTAAGGTTAGAAAGTTGTTCTGGAAAGCGGTGTATGCAAGCAACGTTGTCGACTAGAGGAAAGCTACTTCTGAGATGAAGCATATTGAAGGTAATGGAGATGGTCCTGCACCCTATAAGGACTTTATGGATGCTGAACCTAGACAATTCTATCGAGCTTTCTTATCTACTATCCCTAAATGTGACTCTGTAAAGAGTAACATATGTGAGACATGGAATGGCAGTATTATCAAGTATAGAGCTTTCAGAATTATTGACATGCTAGAGCGAATTAGGGGATATATGATGGGAAGTAATTCATAGTTGACCTTAACACACGCTCGTGCACATGAGGGTATTGGCAATTGAGTAGCATTCCATGTTGTCATGCTGTCTCGACCATCAGTCATTTGAGGAAGGAACCACCTGATTACGTGCATCCATTGTACCATGCAAATTTCGTTTCCTATGCATACAAGGTTGGTATGCCTTGTGTTGATGGTCGACAGGCATGGCCTGAAGCTTCCGGATTTGCTATATACCCTCCAAAAAAGAGGCTAATGCTTGGGAGACCAAAAAGAAAAGAAGAAAGGCTATTGTAGAGTTTGAAACAAGCACCTAGAGAGGAGGCATTGGTGAGGAAGTTACTAGGAGAGGTAACTTGATCCAGTGCACTAAGTGTCAAGGTGAAGGACACAATCAAGGGCATGTCCATTACCTGTTTCTTCCAAGCCAGTAGTGGTAAGTTGCTATTAGAAAGTTTACAACATTACTCATATATTATTGGCTAGTTTACTAATGTTTATATATTGGCTTTCAAGGGATCCAACACACGGAATAGGAGAAAACGAGCTGCTATCCAACAATAAGATACCAATGAGAGGCCAAAAAGAACAATCACTGCTTCCAGTGTGGCCAACCTACTCATAATGCAAGGACTCACCCTCTGAATAGAGGTGTGGGGTGTAGTAAGTGCCTGAATGAATGTGAAATTGAATGTGAGAAACCAAGTTGGAAGTTGAGTTTTATTTCTTTTTCAGGATGTGATATTGAATGTGGGAGATAGAGTAACGGTTGAAAGGGACCTACTCTATGCAATGACTGGGGTGGGTGTTTATGTAGATGAGAATACTGGAAACTAGTAAGTTATGGTGAGTGAATTTTAGTGGAGTGTGATATCCAATTGTAGCTTAATGGTGTGTCCCTTTATTTACTGGTTTGTGGTATTGCAATTGCAGCTTAATGAAGCTCATGGGAGATAATTTGGAGAAGGTCCATCAGAGCCCATACGAGTTACTCAGCCTTCAGTGGTGGATTTGCAGGGAAGTCAGCCGCCACAAACACAACCTTAGGTGTAGACATCGAATGATTCGCATATTTTGGTATTAGCCGAGGAAGTAACTACTATCTCACCTCCTTCATGGCTATTTTGGACGACTTTCCAGGAATTTAGGTGTAGAATAGTAGGGTATCTCTGTTATGTATTGGAAATCCTTTGGAGCAAGGCATCTTTGCCTCTAAAACATGTGTCTCTATTATGCTGTTACGTATGGAAACAAGGCATCTGTGCCTCTGAAAAATGTCTATATTATGTTGTTATGTATTCAAATAAGGCTTCTTTGACTCTGAAACATGTTTGGTTATTTGTGGATGTTGTAATGTGTTCAAACAGAATGACAACAGGAAAAGAACATTACATTCCACATTGACCAGCAAAACATTACAATCCACATAATCGTCTGTACATCAACTACCATCACCCTGCCTACACAGAATGACAAGGAACAAGGCATTCACAAACAACAACACACTCAGCATATATTTCATTACACGGGTTTCATCATTCACTCTTCGAGCTTTGGCTAATCTAACTTCATGAACTTTAAACATGTTTCTTAGCTCTTTTGCCATCATGTTTCTTTCCCTCTTCCTCCTCTGTGCCTTACACTAAGCCATCCGTAAACTCTCTTCCAACCTGAGCATCGAACTGTCCATCTTATGACTTCGTGCCCTAATACATCCTCATTAGCATCCACCCACCTAAAAAATTTGCAATTTTTTCTAGATCCTGCGACATCTCCAATCCTCAGCTACCAACGATATTAAAAACATCCAAGGGTAATCGGAATTAGCAACAACTTACCATCCAATAAGAACAACAGTAAAATTGCATGCCTGGTTTCCCCTCAGTCCCCAAAGTATTTTTCGCAGCTGGTTTCTTGTGCTTGCAGAGGAAAAAAATTGATGCTTGTCGAACCCGATTCGGTCCATAGCTAACCCCATTCCTCCGAGCAGTCCTCTGTGACATGATTCGGCTGGGAGAGATGCAGACCCTGTGAGAGCGACGTTCACTGATGTGCGAGAGGCATCGGCAACAAGAGGACTCGCTGTCGGGAAATGTAGGACTCGAAGACTGAGGGGTTTGGGGGGCGGGATGACGACGAGCCGTTCCGGGGGGAGACGGAGGCGATTGCGCCGTGAGGTTTCAGGGGCACGACGACGCCGGGGGGGATATCGGCTGGAAACCTAGATGTAGCTGAGACTAGAGAGGGATTCGATTTCGAGAGAAGGATGGGGTTGAGATGAAGACGATGGGGTAATTTATGGGTAAAATTAAATATTTTTTTTAATTCTCAAACAAGGCGAGTCTAGTTGGCGATTGCATGTCTTCCATGTCGCTGACACGTGCACACTATTGGTGACGTTAAAGTTTGTAACAGAAATGGCTATAGTTGACAACATAGTTTTGAAAATGTGGCTATGTTTGTGTATTTTTCAAAATTTACCTATTATTATCACAACCCGAATTTTTTTTGGGTATACAAGTGTATTTTTCCTTTTTTTAATTAAATTTGCAGGAGATTATCATCAGCCACAATTTTCTTCTCCCTCTTCTCTCTGGTCTGAAGTTTGAACAAAAAAAAACCAATTCTCTTCTTCTACTTTTATTCTTCAGGTCTAGAACAACGCCTGAAGAAGGAGAGAGCTTCAATCTACTGTCTAACCCTCAAAACTTTTTTTTAATAAAATGGAAGCTGATCTAGTTTCGTTGAGCCCAACAGGGACATACAACTCTTGCCAATGAGACGATCAACTTGAAATTTTTCGCTGTATTGTATTCATTCAAGTGCATGAGCCAATAAGCTCGTTCTGCTTCTTACCTGGCAGCTCCTTTCCGATTCTGCTAGAAGGGTTGCCTCTTGATTTAGCTTGTGGGAGTCGGTAGCCTGCTTGCGATACATGCAGTTGCATTTAACGACATTGTGTCAATTTCCTTTCCTGATTATGGTAATCTACGGGCTATGGCTGGTTTTGGCCGCCCAATCGAGTTACATTCTTGTATGACTTGTATGTTTATCGAAGTAACGCAACTAACGATTCAATCGAAAAATCTATTGAACTCGAATCAAGAACGAAACGTTCTTAATACGAACTTGGATAAAACAGAACCAAAAAAGGACAAATCCACAAATGGGGATAGCTCGATTGGGATAAAGGGTAGTTGCTCGACCATGATTGAAGTGACTATTCAATCGATACACAAGCTCCGCAAGTTTGGAATCCACCAAACCCAACACAAGTCGCAACTTGCACAAAATCGAAGTTTTCAATTCAATTGATCAATCTCTAACGATTACAATGATAGACTTGACATAAATAGACTCTAATTAAACCTAACAACTCAAAATAAACTCCTATTTAGGTTACAACTCGAAAAAGGATTAAAAACAACAGTTAATACAAAATAGCAAACTAATTCTAATCGAAAAAGGAAAATAATTCTATTTTTACAAGGCAGAATTTTGTAATTTCGTACTAACTTTGAACCTTTTGTTTAAAGGCTTCCAGATCTCCAATCTTTCATTTAATTCCTTTCCTTTGTATCAAACATACCTAGTTTCATGTTGTGGAAGCCTTTGGACTTGAGTCATATCCATACTCTTTGAATTGAGCTCTAAAGTAGGCTTCACAAAACAGTTTTCTGCCTTAGCCATTTTTAGGCAGTTTTCAGCTTTCTAGATAGCAACTTTGGACGTCTGGAAATTGGTCTTAATGGATTCACTTGGATCCAAAAACCATGCCAATGTGTAGAGGAAAATATTATCTTCAAAACAAACTCTTAAAGTCACATTTTCAGTCAGCCAATTGTGAGAACCAAGCCTCCAAAGTAGGCTACCTAAAACTGCTTCAACACTTAACCAAAATTCAAAATTCTTCATGTGACTTGAGACGACTTCTTTAGCAAGTAATTTGGACTTGTAGATTGATCCAATTTGGATCATATCAGGCTCCCCTCTTCAAAATGCTTTTCCCTCAAAGCTTGTTTCAACTTGCAATAAAAATCTTCAATGAAAGCTTCCTAAATCGGGTCTTGAAAATGGTTTCCTGAACACGTCTTAATTTCGAACCATACACACTTTGAAGGTTCATTGATCCTTCATCTTGCTGCTGTCTTCCACGATTCGAATGCCATTATGTTCGTGGGACGCTAATGGACTCTTCCCACAAAAAAATTCGCTCAGTAGGACCTAGAATATAAAATCCCAGATTTCTAGTTTCTGGCGACCAATTTCCAGAATCCGACGATTTTGAGAACTCCGGCGAGTTCTTCCAATTTGGGGCTTTCCGATTCACGTCGTTTTGATCCAATTCGTTGCCTCAAATTGATTCGTATGGCTTCCAGAAGTCGTTCACAACCATTCCAGTGCGTCGAACTTGCTTGACCCATTCCCAATCAACATCCACGTAGTTGCCGCCATCGGAAAATTTGAATTTTCCAGATTTCGGCGAGGGGAACCCAAAATCCGGCGACGCGAAATCGGAATTGGGGGTAAACTCAACCCACACATGCCAGCGTCAAATTCTTTGCTCCTACACCATCCTCGGGACTCCATAAATCGAACCCAAGTGGCCGTTTGCATCGAATCAATGCCAATCTCCATAACCAATTCACCCATTTTTGTTTCGTTTCTCTTCACATTTTGGACCGAAAATTCCAAATTGGGTGTTTTCGATTTGGCGCCTTCGAACTCCAATTGAACACCATTGCACGTTCCTGACTTCTTGTTGAACGTGCTGACGCCTTTAGCTTCATTCGGTTTGGTCCAGACGTTTTCCCCGTTGCACTCTCTCTCGTGCCATGTTTCAGGGGAATGCGACAGAGCCCCTGAGTGATTGTCGTCGGAGAGATTTGGTCGCCGTGAGCCCGCTCTGGAGCTTCTACTAGACTTGTCGCCGTGAGCCCTCTCTGGAGCTTCTACTCGACTTGTCGTCGTTCCTTCATCCTAAAGGAAGGCTTCTGTGACCGGTCCGTGCTCTGAATCTCCGCCTCCATCGTCGGCCAAGCTATGGACCTCGAGACTCTTTTTTGAAGGGTAGAAACAGAGGTCGCGGCATCCCATTGATTCTAACTTTGATTTTTTTTTCTAGAGCTTCTTCATGCTCATAAAGTTGAAGCCAACTCGTCTTTGAACCCACAATTGAGCCTTGGACTTCTTGCCCGTATCTCGATTCTCCTCCAATTGCTTTTGATCTTCGTAAACTTCATTTGGAGAAAGAGGCTTCAGCACAATTGTCTTACCTTGATATGGAAGCTTGTAGCGGTTGGTCCAACATTCGTGTGTGACCTAACGGTCGAATTGCCAAGGTCGACCAAGCAAGATGTTTACGGTCTACATTGGTACAACATCACAACAAACCTCATCTTTATATTTTCCAATTTCGAAACTAACCTGAACCTATTTAGTGACTTTTATGGTTCCATGTTCGTTGATCCAGCTGAGACTGTAAGGGCTGGGATGCTTCTTCATGTTTAGTCCAAGCTTCTATACGACCTCCAAACTGATGATATTGGCATAGCTTCCACCATCAATCACCATCGATGCCATTTTTCCATTGATCAGACAACGACTATGAAACAGATTGTCTCTCAGCTCCTCGATGTTGAACGTGAGCTGATTGACGCTTCTCTTCGCGATGAACTCGCGTATGCTTTTCCTCTCTACTGCCCTCGACCAACTAATTTACCGTGGCTAAATTTGCCATCGAAACAACAAGGCAAGGCTCTAAACAAAACCGAGCTTGGTGTTGTACGAAACAGGGGCAGATCCTCCTTGTTTTTCGACGAAATTTGCTTATACTAAACAACAGTTTTGGTTTTCTTCTTCGCCCTTGTGTGGAACGGGGCTCTGATACCACTTAATACTCCCCTAGATGGGTGTATGTTTAACAAAGTAACGCAGCTAACGATTCATTCGAAGAATCGATTGAACTCGAATCAAGAACGAAATGTTCTTTATACGAACTTGGATAAAACGGAACCAAAAGACAAATCCACACATGGGGATAGCTCGATTGGGTTAAAGGGTAGTTGCTCGACCACGATTGAAGTGACTATTCAATCGATACACAAACTCAGCAAGTTAGGAATCCACCTAACCTAACAGAAGTCGCAACTTGCACAAAACCAAAGTTTTCAATTCAATTGATCAATCTCTGACGATTACAATGATAGACTCGATTTAAATAGACTCTAATTAAACCTAACAACTCAAAAGAAACTCCTATGTAGGTTACAACTCGAAAAAGGAATAAAAACAACAGTTCATAAGAAATAGCAAACTAATTCTAATCGAATAAGGAAAACAATTATGTTTTTACAAGGTAGAATTTTTTGACTTCGTACTAACTTTGAGCCTTTTGTTCGAAGCCTTCAAGATCTCCAATCTTTCATCCAATTCCTTCCCTGTGTATACAAACATACCTAGTTTCATTTTGTGGAAGCCGTTGGACTTGAATCATATCCATAATCCTCCAATTGAGCTCTAAAGTAGGCTTCACAAAACAGTTTTCTGCCTTAGCCATTTTCAGCTTTCCAGATAGCAACTTTGGCGTCTGGTAAATGGTCTTAATGGATTCTTCTGGATCCAAAAACCATACCAATGTGTAGAGGAAAACTTTATCTTAAAAAAAAAACTCTTATTCTCTCCTTTTCAGTGAGCCAATTGTGAGAACCAAACCTCCAAAGTAGGCTACCTGAAACTGCTTCAACACTTATACCAAAATTCGAGATTCTTCATGTGAGTTGGGATGGCTTCTTAGGAAAGTAATTGGGACTTGTATATTGATCCAATTTGGATCATATCACATTCAATACAATTTCAACCAGAAACCTTGAATTTTTTTAACCCTTTTTATTTTCGCTAATCAAAATCTTGTTGATTTAGTTCTACATAATTACTAATTAGCAGGATAATACAAATTATCTAGGCGGAAAAATGCCTGATCGGGGCGTGTGCGCCTCAATTGGTGTTTCTCTTGCCTCCAATAGTTTTTACCCCACTTTTGAAGCTAATTGGGGTGTGTGCGCCCCAATTCGCGTATTAGAACAGTAAAATTGGAATTATTTTTTGAGATACGGTAGTTTGTATAATTCAATTTAATAAAACAATATTTATGAAAAAAATCCAGAAGTATTTCTTTGTTTTTTGGGCCCTTTTTCGGCTAATACCACTACAACACTTAGGGAGCAGATAGAGTGCTAACATCTTTTAGTATTAGCATTTAGCACCCTACTAACAATTAATAGAAGGGTAGATTAGTAACTGTGCATTCTCCTTTCCACTACCTTA